TTTTCTTTTGTTTTTTCGGTGCTACATGGCAATAGTAATAGCTAGTTAGTTGTAACAGAAGAGTTATCACTCTATTAGTCTGTTAAACCAGAGCAAGAATGAGAGAATCAATATAAGTATTCCACATGTGCTCATTCTGAGGTGGGGAATAAGAAATTACTACCATTCTATCTCTACTTTTTTCTCTCTGATACCATTGATGCAAAAGGAAAGTAATAGAGAAACTATATTTGAATTCCAAGACACCTCGTACATTCACTATCATCTTCTATTTATACTAATAACCTTCTCTAACTAACTAACAATCCCCTTAACTAACTCTAACTTTAATAATTACCATGTAACAAGAGGTGTAATATAAGATTTAACTTTAAAGTTTAAACAAATACACAGAAGACCGTTAAGACTAGTAAACAATCCAGCACATAAAGATAACAACTGCAAAGAAAAGTCTCCAACATATTAACTTCATTGAGAAACTTCAAATCTAGCAATATAAGTCATGTCACATCCATAAAGACGGAAATCTTACTGTTCCTGTTTGTAGAGTTCCCTATACTCTTTCTCAAGCTGTTCCATCTCATCATTATTCCATTTATCTTCCTCTACTGTATCATCTTCTTCATCATAGGTTCCCTCCTCATCATCTTCATCCTCCACCTTATCATCGTCATAATCCTCCGCATCAAACTCCGCCTACATCAAAATATAATCTTCAATCACCCCAAAAAGAAATCACAAATATTACTTGCCTGTTCATTCTCCATATCACTATAGTCATCCCAATCAACAACATTGTTTTGTGATTTTCTAGATCTCTTGCCAGACAACCCATCTTAAACCTAAATGGAAAAAACCCGACATCAACCAAACATACTTTAAAGATAAAACAAGTAATTCAGCCATATCCTTGTTATAGAGACACTCACAAGTCCCAAACATCATAAATTACACCAAGTATTAAAGAATGCCCATTCCAAAATTGTTATAGCTTTTTCATAAGTCCACAAAAAGGACACAGCGATAACTAAAACTATTAAAGCCTTTCATGCTGGGTTCCTACCCTAAAAACAAATTTGCAACCGTATTTTACTTCAATACAGTCGTTCCAATCATAGAAAAATTATAAGAACAATTTTTCCATAAATATAATCAATGTATAGTTTCCCTATACATGCTTCCCGGCTTATTCTCAAGTAGCAGCGGTTAACTCCATAAAAGACCTTACATATGAATATTATACCTAGTAGTACGGATACAAACCTGTTTGAAAGACTGAAAGAAACCTGTGGAATTAGCTTAAGAAGTGAGGCTACGGGTGACTGCCCCGCGACAAAGAAGCGATTTTCTGGCCGGCAGTTGAGAGCGAGAGGTGTCATGCGCGACTGCAGCAATGAGTGAGTATGAAGCCCTGAGGCAGAGAGGAAGCGAGGATGAGAGATCAATGAGTGACTAGCAGAGGACGAGAGGGGAGAGCCAGAGGCGCCGTCGCCGTGCATGAGAACCAGGAGCAATGTCGAGGGTCTGAAATGAAGCGAAGGCCTACTAGAGTCTGAAGCCCAGGTAATTTTGTTTTTTAAATAAAAAGACTTTATTTCATTAGGTTAAAATGCCTGGTTAAAACGCATTTCAAGAACCAACACCGGGTCTATCAGAATGGGTTGGTTTATCACAACATGACAAATCAAAATTAAAATTCCTATTTGAAAAGGTGTCCACATTTACACTATGTTTACTATGAGGTTTTTGGAGGGGAGGGGAGCACCCTATTTGTCCGGTGTAATTTTTTAGAAAGAGAGGGGAGCAATGTTTGGTTAAGATATTTTTTAAAGAGGGCAAGGGTTCTTCTTCCCTCCTCTCCCCTTCTAGCTTTCCCTCCAAAAGTTTTGAAGGAGAGATGAGAGATAAAATTTTAAGTTTTAAAATTAGCCTAACTAAAATATTTTAATTCCTCATATACCCTTACGATTTGTTAACCCCTAATTAGTTGTAAACATTTGTACATAAGAGAGTTCTTTTAAACATCTAGTAAGAGGTTGTCCAGGTAGTTGTCTCCAAAATTAGTGAGTGTTGTTGAGCCCTTTTTTTTTCTCTTCTTCTAATTCTAAAAGGCCGTCAGTATTTTCTTTCACCTTCAGGGTTATTTCTCTAATTGAAATCGATCACTCGCAACTTTTTATCTTGATATCCTATAACTGTGTGACTGTGTCTTGCAAGTCAAAATTGGTTAATTACATTATATATATAGTTATATCTTGATAAAATAAAAAGGTGAGAAAATTCATTTGAATTTTATAAGGTTAAAATAGTCAATTTTTCCTTAGAACAAAATAAGGTATTATTAAAATTCCTCCTTTCCCTCCCCTTCAATCAATCCAAACAAGAGATCATTAAAATCTCTTTTCTCCCTTCCCCCTCCCTCCTCTCCCCTTTGTAACTACCCTCTCCTTTCCTCCTCTTCTCTTGATTAAAATCCCTCCCCTCCTTTTCCCTCTGTCGAGTCAAACACAGTGTTAGTGCTCGACAGTATCTCTAATAGGATTGCCTCCAATAAAAAAGATATCTATATTTTAGTAAAAAAAGAAAATTCCATTTCAAAACGTCCCGGTGGAAGTGATCAAGAATGCAAAAACTATCAGTCATAGAATGAGAGGATTTTGCTGAAAAGTCAGTTGCACCTAGATCATCTTTTTACCTATGCAGAAAAAACTTATCTGCAAGTTCCTATGCAATGGTAACTTCTGGGCCCAATGAATCATATTTTCATTTAATGTTACAATTAATAAAATTACTAATTGAATATACCTATATGTACACACAGTGACACATAATATTTTGTCTCGTCCTGATATGAGACACACTTGAATACCTCTATTTTAAAGCTAACAAAATGGGGATTAGAACTCGAGACTTTTAATTAAACTGGAATAACTCTTTTATTAGTTGATTCAAATATTCATGATTAGTTAATTCATTTTGTGAATGTAAACTGTATATATTTATTGATGATTGACTGATTGTCATATATATATATATGTGTGTGTGTGTGTGTGTTGGAAAAATCCTGTCTCTTAGAAATGATTTTGAACATTTAGTTAGTTAATTTATAAGCCCATTGGTCACTAATAGAAGATGCTTATAGGAAAGTTTACTTGAGCCAAGATATAAGTCCATGTTCTTTTCTGGCAAAAAAGAAAAAGATCATCTTCTAATTTGTCTAGTTCATTAATTGAGCCTTTTCATTTTGGCCTCTTATTAAAATTTTATATTCAAATAATTATGAAAGCGAAATTATATGATATTTATAACTACATTTCCAATTCACCTATATTAACAAAGTTGGTTAAATCTATTACTTGTAACAATAATGTAAAAAAGTGTGACTTTACAAAAAATAATCTTTATCTAATCATTTAATTGGAGAGAAAAATTATTACATGGTAATGATACTATCTAGAAAAATGGAATGAGAAAAACTGGTTAAATGGTAATAGTTATTACTGGAAAAAAAATTAATGAAAGAAACCGGCAGTGGCTTGAGATCTTTGCAAAATACATACTACTATATATAACTTTAAATAAAAAATAGTGCCTTTTTCCCCAATATAAATTAATAATTACATTGTAACCTCGGCAAAACCAGTCAGAGCCAGCGGATCCTGTTTTGGGCGTCGACTGACAAAGAGCATTCCACGCTTGGTAGAGTCCGCCGTTAGCAACCTTGCGTGGTCGTTCTCTTGCAAATACTGAAGAGGGTCCGAACCTCAGCGCTTTGTCTACTTCCAAAATTCGGTGAGATTGATTTTTCAGCCTGGCTTTGAATCTATATTTGAATTTGTTCCCCGCGTCATCAGTTCCCCGCGTGGTTTTCAACCATGTGTCGGACGCCATCGCACCGTTTATTGCTTTGTTTTAAAATTTTCATTTTAATTTCGCTTTCATTTTGGTCGTTTTTTGAAATTTTTTTTGGTGACTTTGATTACTAGTTTTCGCTTTAATTGTGTGTAATCGGCTATCATGTTTCTTCCCTCATCATTTTGATTACTAGTGACTTATATGCTTCGGATTGTTTTGTTTTGCAATTATGTATTGGCGTTCTGTTTATTATTCTTTATATTATCGTCAATTTAGAAAATTCTCAAGGTATTTGTGATGCATGATCTGATAAATGGCTTGGCTCGAGTTGTGTCCGCAAAATTAGAAGCGTGAATTTAAATTGTCATTCTTCGGTGCCTTTGAGGAGTTGGCTGAATCAATTGGTTATGTTTTCCAAGGGATCCTTGTTAAGATATCTGCAGCGAAATTATAAGGGTATTATATCAATTATGCATCAAATAGGTCCGCCTATGTGTGCGGGTATCATCTTCTCTAACTGAATATAGAAGTGCGTAAAGTTAGTTTTTTTCAACAAACTCTGAAGATCATATTTTTACAGCACACGTCACATTTTTCATTGATTTTCCTCTGTTCTTCGTTTTCTGGTAGACAATTTATTTTTTGGGACTTTGCAGAACACTTTGAGCTTGATATTACGTCATCACTGAAGTCCAATAGTATTAGGTCCCAGTCTTCTGAAGATACTATAACATTAGGTTAGCAATGCCTGAGATACCGTATTATATAGACACATGTATTGTGCACTCGCTAACTATTTTTGTTTGATCTTTTTATCATTTCGTGAATCAAGAAACAAACCGTACCCCTGCTGAGAAGTTAAAGCCAAAGAGCAAGTATTAGCTTGAGGTTGAAGCCAGAAATTACAATCACATGGATACAACCATTGCTTTAACGCTCATAGAAGCTGTATTGATTTTGCTAGCTATAGCAATTTCTAAAGCTCTCAGATTAATCTCTCCACTTCATACTATCCATCCTATTTCTGTTCATGATAGGTAACATCTTCTATAGCAATTTCTCTTTGTTCTGTTTGCTGATAGCCCAATATTAATTCATGATTTCCTTCCATCTGCAATTCTAAAGATGATGTTGATTCGATTCCCATGGTTTGCTCTCCTTCTAATATCATTGTTGCTCCTGCTGCAACCAATTATGACGTCTTTCTTAGCTTTAAAGGGGAAGACACTCGCGACAGTTTCTCAAGTTATCTTTATGAAGCACTCTGTGATGCAAACCTTCAAACTTTTATGGATCACAGGCTCCGCAAAGGAGACCATATCTCACCCCTTCTTTTGAAAACAATAGAGGAATCAGAAATATCTTTGATTATTTTTTCCAAAGATTATGCATCTTCAACGTGTTGTTTGGACGAGCTTGTTCATATTATGAACTGTAGGGATAAATACAAAAGAGTTGTCATCCCTATTTTCTATGACATAGATCCATCAAATGTTCGCAAACAAAATGGAAGTTTTGGAGATGGATTTGCTAAGATTAAGCAGAGATTTAGGCACAACCAATAAGAAGTGCAAAATTGGACAAATGCTTTGATCCAATCAACAAATCTCTTTGGGTGGGATTCAAAGAATATCAGGTAGGTGCCTTTCAAGAGGCAATGATTTCAAGAGGCAATGATGTGTTACGTTGGAAGGCACAGCATAAATTTAAACATCTATATCAAAGATAGGCAATAAGTTAAAATAGCATATTCATAGCAGTACCAATTTTGAAAGTGCTTTACAGGTGAAAGATATAGAGAAAAACTGTAGTAGTGAAAAGGCAAGAATCAGGTTCCATACATATTTTCACTCTTGATACAATTAGTTCAAAATGCTTTTTGGTGAATGGGACTCAATTTCAGCCCCTCCAAAGGAAGTCCCAGCACATCCTTATAAGAGATGCAATCAATGACAACATCAATTATAAGGTTAAGGTTAAGCAAGGAGAACTTAATATTTAGTAAGTCAATATATGATATCGAAGACGCTTTTACAAATAAATGTCACAAAATGTTAAGATAATCACCAGCAGGCATCAAAGTCATATCACTGTATTTACATTATTGTTGAATATGAAGGAACTAAACTATCTTGAAAAGCTACAATAAAAATGATTTAGCTGACTCACAGGCATCTAAATCATATCATATTACTTCCACCAAAAAAAAAAAAAAACCCCACGTAGACATATATGTGTGTATATGCATACAAAAGAATCATATAATCAAATAACATATAACCAAAAATAAATAAATATATAAACTAGCAGGATAATTTCTTTTAGAGAAAATTGTAAAAAAAGACCTTGGAATTACAAAATACAGATAGGGAACCCTTGACAACTTTACTTTGGGTTTTGACAATTTCATAACATATTATTATTATCAAAACACAAGGTGAAGTTGTTAAGGATCCCTATCTGTATTTTTATAATTCCAAGTTCTTTTTTTGTAATTTTCCCTTTCTTTTACCTCTTTCAATTATCTGAACCATCTGTTCTAAAAAAAGGACATTTTGAGTAAACGATAGTGTCAAACAACCCTAGCCCAATGCTCTCAAGTGAAAGAAATCTGAGAGACATTAATTAATTAGTAAGGAGGGTCAAAAAGCTTCAATGGCTTCCTAAGAGTAAATAGTACATCTAATGGGGAAAAAAAACAAAAGACACAGATACGGAGAGTGAGCAGAAGCAGACCTTGAAAAACGAAAAACATGAGAAATTAAAAAGAATTTAAAAAATCCCACCTTTGAAACCTCACATTGCTCTTTTGTCCTTAGTCCAGCACAAAGTGCTTGAATCATCAGTTCATGCGTCCTCTGGTCTACTACTGTTGAATCTCTATTGGTCAATTTCTCAAACACTTGGCGTGCATCTTCAGGCATAGCTCCCCCCCGGGTCCATGATGACTGGAAACTGCAGGGGCAGAAATCAACAATAAAGATTAAATTCCTGTAGTATTGAGAAGCAATATAAATGCCTGACTCTTAAAAATGAAGAATGGAGAGAGAAATGAAAAAAGAAGGCGGAGAAAAGTTTATGCTGCCATGAAAGCAACTTCTAGCATCAGTACTACCACAAGATACGATTCAACATACAGAAGAAGTGAAGCATCTCCGGCGACAATCTCCAACGACTTGCAAACTTGGGAGTTGGAGGCAGAACTGAAATGAAAAAAAAGATGAAACACGAAGCAAAAAATGGAGGCAATGAAGAGACGACTTATCAGGTGCAGATGTGACTCAGCTGAGAAAGCGTGCTGCAGGGAGAAACGTGTTGCGGTCCGAATGTTTTTAGAAAAGCAAAAGTGAAATCATTTTTGAAAGGTTAAAGTATACGATCTTTTAACTTTACGTAACGTAAGATTTAATTTGGTTCTTAACTTTAAAAGGTATACTTTTAATCTTTTAATCATAAAATTATTCGTCTTAATTAATGATTGTTTGTAATATATGATTGTTTTGAACATTAAACTTAATATGTTAACATTTAGTAATATTTTATCAGCATTTAAGAGTTTAATATTATTTTTTGTTAACAGTTTTAGATTAGAGGATTAAAAGTTTACTTTTTAAAGTTAAGAGATCAAAATAAAACCTTATATAAGTTAAAGAGTAAAAGTATACTTCAACCTTTTTGAAATAATGTTAACAGCTCGTTTATTAAGATCTTGTTTTTAATGTTCGTTTTGAGAAAAAAATATTACATTAATTGTAAGACAAAATCATTATCTATCCATAAAAATTGACACAAATCTAAGAGATTTACGAACTTGAAAAATCTGAAAATTTTACTATATTATAAGGCCACGTAAAAATATTTTTATTACTACGTCAAAAAAAATTTATATTATAATATTGTTACATTGTTAAAGATAAAAATTATTACAAAAATTGAAAGATTTAAATTTTTAAATTGAATAAAATTCAAGTCATTTATGTGTGTATCAATTTTTAATTTAAAACCATTAATATTAATGAATAATTTTATATTTCACTTGCGAAGGAAAAAGCATGAGAAATCATAAATTTTGCAGGCTTTGAATTTTGAAATGAAAAAGAGAGAAAGGATAGAGATGGAGGGAATTTTAAATTTTAAAACTCATCTTTTGAGTGTCATATACAAAATAAAGAAAACACAAAACCCAAAAAATAAGTTGTTACTGTTCAAGTTATTAGTGTTCATAGAACAATATTTTGAGTGGAGCCGATATGAAAGTGAAAAGAAACCAGCTAGTAGTTGATTTTTATTTATTATTATAGGTTGATTTAAGATGTTAAAATTAAGAAACTAAAAATACACTTTAAAAACTTAAGAAATTAAAATGAAATTTGATGTGAACTTAAAGTCTCAAGCATGTAAAACAGAGGGAGAAAAAAATAATCACTTGCTATTAATGTATGTATCTTAAACAAGATTTATCTGACCCACTGCATCATCCAACATAATGGAATTGCTATTCAGTATGAATGTAATGGATAACTATGCCTCAGTTGGACAGATTGCTTATAGAAATATATGTTGTCCATGAAAGATAAATACATTAAGAACAGAGAAGATTTGAAACTAAAACCTTCTGTAAACTACCAATCCTCACCACTACACTAAATTGTTGCCTTTTGAGGAGAAAAATAAAATTCCTCAATAAACAATATAACGTTGGTTGAATGAGTACTAATATGTTATGACAAGTTACTGCACAACACTTGATGTATTATCTGTTTTCTAAGCGTATGATTATGCTGTCCCAACAGATGATCTCTATGACTTTAATCTGAACAAATCTCCAAATAGTTTAGGAACCACAGGTGGAAGATTCATGGACTCAGGAGCCATGAAGTTTACAATATTTTCATGAACATTATACCTTCAATGCCACATTGCACAATATAAACAGTAAAATAGTCAAAAATCTCTTTTCAATTCTGGAGAATTTAATAATATATATGAATATACACATGACAAAAAGTAATGGCACGAAACAAGGAAATGCCACCTTGATCAACTAACCTTATCTTGCGACATTTTGAGGCTTGACGATTGACAATTTTCCTTTTTTTTGGTTGCATCTTCTTTAAAGCATAAAGTGATTTCTCTGTATGATTCACAACAGCAGAAAATAAGAAAGTGGCTTCTGTTTACATGGCATAAGGTTAACACTATGATTTCTGGGAAAGCAACTCGTGCTAATTCTGGGCTCAAAAATTTCATCAAAACTATTTAGATGGAAAAAAACAAATCAATACTAATTCTACACTCTTTCTAGACAGCCTTTAAGGCTAAATATGAAGTTTCATTCAGTCATAATTGCCAAAATACATTATAAGTTAAATAAAAGAGGATGTCCTGAGTAGTATAATATTCTAATATTCCAACGACATCATTAGAAGTAAAAATATGAATACAATGTATAAATAATGCTTGTTCAACCAAAAACAAGACAATTATTACTTACCGAATGATGTAGGATCGTCTGTCTCGAAAAACTCTTTTAGTAATTGCTGATAAAATTCAGAGTCATCTAGAAGTTCGAGATCACCATCAATATGAGTTTCCTGAACAAATTCAAATTCATAACTGTTATGTTGGAAATAAATATTGATCTACGTTGCTAAGCACAAGCAAACAGAACAGGTAAAAATGATATTAAAGTAATAATCAATAACAAAAAGCCAAGCTTTAAGAGGATGAAGACTTAAAATCTATATTGAAACACTTGAATGGCTTCCTTTAAAAATATTACATAGTACACACCAAAATGGCTTGCTTTTGTCTACACGATTCAACGTGGAGAAAAACATAAAGGTTCTATTTTGACTCAATTAGCAATGAATTTGACTAACCTCTTCTTTAGAGTTATCCCTGGTCTCAAGAATCTGAAGACAATGCTAGTGACAGAGCACGCAGAAATGAGAAAAAAAAAGGTTGGTGGTTATTAAACATATTCTTGATGTCAATATACATAAACTGAAAGGCACTCAAAAATTAGAAAAGAACCAAAAAAGCGAGAATGGGTCTATCTTTATGACTTTGAGAAAATTGTAAAATGAATCATGTTTCAAAAACAAAAATGACAACACTGACTTATATTTCCAAATATACTAACAATAGATGTTCTCAGCCTTATTTGTTTGATCATTCTACTAGCATCCCTCATATAAGTAGCAACTTGGTGGCTTATATCCTGCGATGGACATGTTAAGAGTAAAACAGCCTACCTATCACATAACAGAATCCTTGGTGAAGTTAAAAAGCCAGACCTGATTAAAAACCTGTAATTTGCCTTTAAATGCAGCAGCACCAGTTGTCCCCGAAAGGTGCGAATCTACAAAATGCAATCATGAATAACATTAATTATGTCACAGTGTTTATCTGATCAGTTTTATGCACATGCACATAGGTGTAAGAAATAATATTTTCTAGCGCGTCCCCTAACACAAAAGATGAAAAACAAGAACGACAAAAAGGTTCAATCATGTCCGAAGCCTAATACACTACAAAAAAAAAAAACAGGGTATTAGTGACGGAATTTAGCAATGAAATTTTATTCCGTAGCTAATTCCTCACAAATTCTGTCATTAAAATAGTGACGGAATTTAATGACAGAAAATTTTTGTCACTAAATTAGTGAAGGATTAGTGACAGAATCTTATTCAGTCACTACATTCTGTTACAAGTTCGTTGCTAATTTTGTTTTAAATGATTAGTGATGGAAACATTCCGTCATCAATCCATCACTAACTCTCATTTTGTGATGGAAACTAGTGATGGAATTTTTCTATCACTAATTTCCATCGCAATTCCGTCACTAATCCATCACAAAAAAATAATATAAATATATAATAATTATTTTTTAAACTTATTATTAAAATAAAAATAAAAATATCATAATTTTTAAATAATAAAAATTAAAAAATACAAATATTATAGAAGAAAAAAAAATAAAAATATATAATATACTTATTATTTTATTAAATATTTGAATAAAAATATAAATTATTAGAAATTTTTAACTAAAATATAAAATTAAATTCAAATAAATAATAATATATTTAATTATATAATATATATTAAATTATGTACATAATATTTGTTATATATTTTTGTATTTGTTATTAGAAATATTATATATATTTATTTTTGTAAGAGAATTTCACAGGTGTTTCTTAGCTCAACTGGCAAAGGCTCTCAGGTTCGAACCAACACTTCTTTAGAAATTGGCTCAATTTGTGACGTGGTGATGATGTGGATGATATGATGATGTGGCTGCATGGGAGAGAGGAGGAGTTGACATGGCATCCAATGATGGACACGTGGCAATAATGTGGACGAAGAGATGACGTGGCAACATGGGAAAGAGATAGAGGAGTTGGTGAGGTGGCAGCTATTGATGATGTGGTGGCTCATAGTGATGGACACGTGGCGATGATGTGGTATTTTAAATTTATAAAATAAAAAATGAAAATTTTCATCTCCATCATTATTTTGTGACAGAATTTTTGTGGGATATCCACCATTAATTAGCGACGGAAAATTTCCATCTCTTTAGTGACAGAAAAAATTCCGTCGCTAACTGAATTCCGTCACTAATCCGTGGGTAATTTTGATTAGTGATGAAAATTTTGTCATTAAATTCCATCGCTAATTTGATGTTTATAGAGATCGCTATTGCTTAGAAGGATAACTATTAATGCATCATCAGGTTGCACCCTAACAAGAATTTCTCACATGCAAAATCATGAATGAGTGTGGTTTACTCTGTTTCTCGGCCATATCAGAGCCCATAAATATGTGACAAAAAAAGAACATTTTGCCAAAAAGATATATTTTTAAAGAACACCATTAAAGCACCAAAACAAACAATCATCCCCAATACCTCGAGAGCTCTCAAAGAAGAAAGAGATGTCGGTAAATAATGCTCCCTCTGTTTTGTGTAAATCATTTTTAACTTCTTTACACACAAAAAAAGAAGAAGAAGAAGAAAATTTACTACACTTCTATCCCTGCTTCTTTCTTTTAATTTGAAGTGAATATAAGCATCCCACATGTTCTCATTCTAAGGTGTGGAATACGAAATTACCACAATTATATAAAAGGTATTTTAGGAAAATTTACACATTGACCGCATATAATAGTAAGAATATTTTTTCATAAATAATTATCTGAACTAATTTTTTTTAATCTCTTAAAATTAAGATTAGATGTGTAGTTCTTATATTTAATACGGGACAGAGTAATAAGAAGGTTGGGCTATTACAATAAACATTGGAGAGAGGTGGGATATTAGAGCCTCCAAAATATGCATTTGCTTAATCGTCAAACAGTGCGGTACTCATAAAGAACGTAACGCTATGTCGGCCACAAGAGCTGAAGCTTGGAAATTTCTTTGTAAAAGAAATAATAAAGAAATTAAAGAACCAAAACCATTAAAACAACTTCAACATGCGTACTTTTATTCCCTATAGCTAGTTGTAAAATAAATAAAGTTGTTGTTGATAAAAAAAAAAAACATGGAATAAATAAGTAAAGTTTAGTTGTCTTGCAACCTCGTCCCACTTTCGAAACATTTAAGAAGAGAAAAAGAAAGGGAAAGAGAAAAAGAGACACACTCTCACCCTGCGAAAAAGCGAATGGCTGAATGATGATACAATGAAGCAACAATCCACAAAAGTGACAGACGCGGCACGACTTGACTTCACTTGTTGACAACAAAGGCTGAAACAAGACATAAATATGTGAGGGATCGAGGCATTTGTTCATCTCTTTATCTGAGCAACTTGTTTGAAGAGAAAGCAATTGTCTGCAAATTCTGAGAAAGCTGCCATTTTTGAGACCGCCCTTAGCTTGTGAGCTGTTTCTTTTGCTTCCCTCCGCATCCAGGTTATTTCTTCTCTTTTACTCTCTTTATCCCATGAATCCATCATCCTTCTATTCTGCTGCCTGAAAAAGATTTTTTGTTTTATTTCTTCTCCTAATGCTGTTGATTCAATCTCCTCCTTAGCTCCCTTACTGTCATAGATCTAATAAAACTTAAACATTTGAATTTCTTTTATACTTCAACTTCTGAAAAAACAAAGTCCTAAAACCTTCAAAGATATGGACGCACTTGATTTATTGATGAAGTTCTTCATTTATTTATTCATATTTTTCTTAGTGAGGTAGATGGCTGAATTATTTATTTTATTTGAAAAAGTGAAGTGCTTCTTTCATTCACCTTAATCACTCCCCGCTTTGTTGCTGTGCGTGAAAAAGGCAACCAACAGGGCGTATTCTCTTTTCTCATGTTCCATTTGCTTGATCCCGCCGATCTCCAGTTTTACCAGTATTTTCCTGGAATTTCTACTGTTTTGCTTTTGTGCACGGAAAACAAAAATTAAAAAACATCAAGATATATCAATTTATTCAGTCCAACTTATTTTGAAAGAAAAAAACCATTAACACACGGCCTGGTTAATACGCCCTCAACACATGTATTTTTACTCACTATAGCTCTGCTTCTTTTAAAATAAATTAAGTTGTTGGTGAAAAAAAATCAAATAAATCAGTAAAGTTGTTGGGTGGACTTGACTGGTATGTTGCGCCCCATGATGAACTCTTTCTTTCGCACTATTATTCCATCCATAGATATATGTTCTTCATTTTAGTATCAATCGTTACTCTCCATCAAATTGCTATATATTGATCGGTCAGTAACTTTTTGCAACTTCCTAAATATTTTTCTTTGACCTTTCTATCACGTTAATCAAGAGCCAAACCATCAACACGCGAGTTTCCCGGCACAGGAATAAGAGCCTCTGAAACAAAGATAAATACATGTGAGTGAGGCATTCGGGGATCTCTGAATCTGAAGATCTTGTCTAAAGAGAAAGCAAGTTTGCAAGTTATGAAGCTGACGTTCTTCTCTGTTACTTCCATCTACTGTTTTGCAAGCTTTTTTCGCGAAATTTTCACAGAAAAATTCTGCATTAGATTTGCTGTTTTCTTTTCCTTGTGGCACCTGTTGATTTTATTCTCCTCCCTAATTACCTTATAGTTGTGGATCTAAGAAAACTTCAACATTTGAAATTTTTTATACTTCTGAAAAACAAAGTCCCAAAACCTTCTAAGATATGGGTGGACTTGATATATTGATTATAGTCTTCATTTATTTTATTCAAATTTTAAATACTGTTTGTTATGAAGGAAATGAAGGGGAGGAGAGGGGAAGAAAAATTTTATTGAGCTCCATTTAAAAAAAATTAGAGAAGTGGTGTTTTTAAAATTTTAATAAAAATAAGAAGTAATATAAAATAGTAATAATATTAATTAAAAGCTTTTCCATTTAGTTTCCCTTATAACAAATGGATCCTTAATGAAATAAATGGCCCATTTATTTATTTTATAGGAAAGCAAAGTGCTTGTTCTTCCTTTCACCTTAATCACTCCCCATTTCGTTGTTACACGTGAAAAAGGCATTGATACAAACGAACAGGGCTTTTTCTCTTTTTTTCATGATCCACTTGCTAGATACGGTTTTATTTTTCACAGAAATCATGCAAACATTAATACGTATCCATTAATTCAGTCCAACAACTTCTGACAAAATAAAGAAATTAACACACGGCCTGATGTGCCTTCAACACATGGACTTTTACTCACTATAGCTTCTTTTAGAATAAATTAAGTTGTTGATAAAAAACATCAAATGAATCAGTAAAGTTGTTGGGTGCACTTGACTAGTAAGTTGATCACGTGATGAATTCTTTCTTTCGCATTATTCTATCCATAAAGACATGTTCTTCATTTTAGCATCAATCGTTCTGTAACTTGTTCTCGCTCCCTAAATATTTTTGTTGGATATTTTTATCACGTTAATCAAGAACCAAACCATGGCACCTCCTGAGAAGTTAAAGCCAAAAAAAATTGCTTGATCACGCTAATTTCGGGTTGGTGAAAAGTTTCAGGTTAAAACAAGAGATTACAGTCACATGGATGCAACCTTTTCTTTAACGCTTATAGAAGCTATCTTGATTTTGCTGGCTATAGCAATTTCTAAGGCTATCAGATTAATCTCTCCGCTTCCTGATAGGTAACATCTTCTTTAATTGTTCACTTTATACGGTTTGCTGATAGACCAATATTTATTATTCATGAAGATTTCTTTCCATCTGTAGTTGTAAAGATGCTGTTGATTCGATTCCCACGGTTTCTTCTCCTTCTAATATCATTGTTGCTCCTTCTGCGACCAAATATGACGTCTTTCTTAGCTTTAGAGGGGAAGATACTCGTGACGCTTTCTCAAGTTATCTCTATGAAGCACTTCGCGAAGCTAACATTCATACTTTTATGGATCACAAGCTCCACAAAGGAGATCATATCTCATCTATTCTCTTGAAAACAATAGAAGAATCAGAGATATCTTTGATTATTTTCTCCAAAGATTATGCTTCTTCAACTTGGTGTATGGATGAGCTCTTTCATATTATGAAATGTAAGGATAAATACGGAAGGCTTGTCATCCCAATTTTCTTCCAGGTAGATCCATCAAATATTCGCAAACAGAATGGGAGTTTTGGAGATGGGTTTGCTAAGCTCAAGCAGAGATTTAAGCACAACCAAGAAAGAGTGCAGAAGTGGGAAAATGCTTTGATCAAATAGCAAGTCTATTTGGGTGGGATTCAAAAAATATCAGGTAGCTTTTGTTATGCTCATTCTTCTCTTACATATTTCTTTCTTAAATTTGGGTATTAAACATAACCATGATTTTAATTTATATTTATGCTAGGCCTGAAGCTAAACTTGTCAAAAAGATTGTCAAAGATATTTTGAGCAAATTGAATCGCAAGTCGTCCTTTCATGTGGAAGGACTAGTTGGAATTGATCATCAGATTCAGGAAGTTGAAGAGCTACTGAGTGAAGCTCGCATTGTGGGAATATGGGGTATGGGTGGTATAGGCAAGACCACTCTTGCTAGTGCCGTATTTGAGAGGTTGAGAGCAGAGTTTGAAGCTTCCTGCTTTGTTGAAGATGTAAGAAAACTGCTGGAAAAGAATGGTGGCTTGAATGCATTACAGGAAAAATGCCTTAAAGAATTATTAAAAGATGAGGAGATTAACACTTACAATTTAAGGTCTGATTTTGTGAGAAGAAGGCTTCACCGTAAAAAAATTCTTCTGGTACTTGATGATGTGGACAATTTTATGGCGGCTGAAAATTTAATCAAAGCATGTGGTTGGTTTGGGGAAGGAAGTAGAATTATTATCACATCAAGAGACATGCAAGTGCTTAAAAATACTTCTGCATTTCTAACATATCGTGTTCCAACAATGTATCACCATGATGCTCTTCATCTCTTTAGTTTGAAAGCTTTTAAGCAAAATCAGCCATTCAAAAACTACTTGGAGTTATCAAAGCGGGCAGTGTATTATTGTCATGGAAATCCTTTAGCTCTAAAAGTGTTGGGTTGCTTTCTTCATGGCAGAGGAAAAGAAGTATGGGACAGTGCTCTGACAAAACTAAATCATACTCTTCACAAGGACATTTTTAAAGTGTTGAAATTGAGTTTTGATGGACTTGATGATGACATGCAGAAGAATGTATTTCTTGACCTAGCATTTTTCTTGAACGTAGGACATGGGATTTCTCTAGATTGTACAAGAGGCTTATATGGCTCTCATGCACGTATTGAGATAAGTGTACTTAAAGAGAGATCCCTCATTTCAGTGGATAGATATGGTAATATTGAGATGCATGCTCTATTAGTGGAGATGGGGCTTGAAATTTCTCAGCAACAATTAATATCTAACCCTGAAAAACCCATTCGACTTTGGAGACCCCAGGATGTTTTTCATTTCATGAAAAATGACAAGGTAATAATTTATTTTTCAGATTTTATTACATTCTTTATTCTCTTAATATTTCATTTCATTGTCATTATATTTTCATAAAAGCTATTCCTCTAGTCCTAAACATAAGACCCCTTTCATAGTATAATTTACACTACAAAAGAGATCTTATATTTAGGACCAGAGGAGTACTAGTTTATTCTCTAAAATCTTTGGTAAGTCTCAATGTATGCGGAATCAGACTCTTTATTTTAAAAAAAAAGTCATTTCTTCAACTAAAATTGGTAGGGGTCGTATATAGTCTTCCTATTAGGAGTGATTTATTAATCTTCAACTTTGAAATATTCCTCTTCTTAAGTTTTTAGACAGAATATGATTAGTATGGTATAAGACATTTCTAAAATTTAGAGCATGAACAATCTTGAATAAATTATACAGTTATTCACAAAGATTGACATTCTTAATCTTTATATTAATTGATAGTTGATGTAGTATAAAGGTGATTGTGTGCATACTCACACTGCATTTGCATTCTAACGCGTTTTCTTAATAAAAATTTAGGAGAGAATTATAATGAAGTTTTAAGGAAGAAAAATAATTACAAACTAAGTTTTAGAAGTTGTCATTTTTTATTTTGAAACCTGTCATTATAGGCTTTTTTTTTTGGGACTTGAGTGTAATTCTCCTAAAATTTACTATTGCAAAAAAGTACAAATTATGAAATTTGAACATAAAAGAAATTTTTAAAAATTTTATATATGCCCCGGGGGGATTTATATGCACTAATTTTTCTTTAAGAATAGCAGTTATATCAAGGGTTAATATAATTTTGGTCCCTTAAATTTGCATAAATTTTAGTTTTATTCTCTTGAGTTTCAAACAATGGGCTTTGGTTTTAAGGAGCAAAATGGTACATGTTTTTGTTAAGTTATAAGAAGCAATGTTTTGGATGGAAAGAAAAAACTGGAGAGATCAAAATTTATGATTTGAAATTCGAGGGATTAAAATCAAAATGATAATAAATTTGAGGGGACCAAAAACTATATTGATCCTTAAATAAAATTTAAATGTGCGCATGGTAAGGCCGTTCATATGATTGTCCCTGCTAGCGTGGCTGTGTATTTGTTTTGGCCAATTTATTTATTGCAAGATAAAATGAATTGTTTGAATAAAGTTCATCAAAGAAATTTCTAAAGGAAATATATTTAACTATTGTCTTGGTTATTTGTTCACCTTTTACATATTACTGGTGTTTTTCCCCATAGTTTGATCAGTAGGCGGCTGAGGCAATTTAATGCTTATCATTAGACATCAGAAATACGATAAAGAGGATTACATTAACAATTAGTAATTTTCAAAAGAATTATAATTTAAAATTAGCTAGGACTTTTGTGACAAGTGTTATTTTAAAAGACAAAATTAGTCTACAAAGAATTTTCATCCAGTGATTAGTGATATATGCATACGCACGTGTGAGCATAACTAACTGTTATTTGAGGTACAATGTGAAAATAAAAAACAAATGACTTTTCACTTTTATAGTTATATTCTAAATATCTGCGCATGCATATAGCTAGGTATACGCATCAATGTGTCTACATATTTATGATTTTTTAGAAATTTATTTATTATGGGAAAAACATGAATTGTAAGGAATTTTGAATAAAATGCATATAGCGATGTTAATTTGGATATTTTAAAAGTTGATATATTTAAATATTCTATGGTATTTATGGTCATTTTTTTAGATAATGATAATTGTGTTTCCCTTGATTTGATATGATTACCAGGGGATTGAGGCAATTCGATGCATGTCATTGGATGCAAGCCAGATAGAAATCATGACATTGAGGGCTAGTCATTTCCAAAGGATGCATTATTTAATGTGCCTTAATGTTTACAAGTCTGATCAAAGAAAGCCTTCAAAGTTGAATATTTGCGGAGAGTTGGATTATCTTTCAAAAGAATTAAGGTTTCTTCATTGGGAAGGATATCTACTGCCATATGTGCCATTACAATTTTGTGCTAAGAATCTCATTAAACTTAATTTGTCTAACAGTAATATCCAACAGCTTTGGGATGGAAATCAGGTACGTACGCATCATTTTTTCAAATGTATGTCATAATGTTTCTGTTGGTGTATGTGATTCTAAGACGCGGCATCAAACATTGACTAAAATAATTCACAATGCAAATGTTTAATTGTTTTTATGCTGAGAATTTTATTGAACTTAATTTGCCAAAGAGTAATGTCCATTAGCTTTAGGATGTAAATCAGGTACGTATAATTTCTCATATGTCATAATTGTTTGTTCTTGTGATTCTAAGAAACATTGACTAAAATAATTCAAAATGCAAATGTTTACTCTATTATTATCTTTCAGTTGATGGTTGAGTAGTAATTGTACAATTTGGGGGGAGTCCAACTGTTGTTGTAATGGGCATGAGAAAAATTCTTGATTAAATTGTACGTATGTGGAGTTATCTGATTTATTTAACACCACTACTTTGTTTTCTTCAGCAATTTCCAAATCTAAAGGAAATATGGCTAGAGAATTCAAAAAATCTCATGGCACTCCCAGATTTGTCTCAAGCCCCAAAGATTAAGTACATGAGTCTTAATGGTTGTGTGAATTTAGATCAAATCCATTCTTCAACTGTCCTGGAAAAGCAAGTCCATTTATTTATAAAAGATTGTGGGCCGATGCGGATAAATGTTGGGGGCAGTATGAAAGGGAGAAGTTCATCAGGGTTTCTGATTGTGCACAATTATTTGGATGTTGTCGATTTGACATTTAATAAAGTGACAATGAAGGTGATGGTATGCGGGAAGATGATGTGTGGTGCTGGATTTAAGCATGTGAGAATGCCATTGAAAGAGAAGGCAGAATTCATGAGAATGGCGACTTTACTTCCATTTATGAGGAGAGTTGTATGGTCTGAGAGTCCAATTGAGTTTGGGCATGATTTCAACCAACATCATACCTATCATGTTTATCATTATTACAGTCAAAATGATTGCTTTGGTATTGAAGTGAGGGTGAGGGGTCATAGAGGCGAAAGTCGTGTGGAAGATGATGAAGAAGAGGATGAGGATGATAGAGAAATGATTAGTGAGAATGAAAGAGAAATGAGTAGTAGAAGTGATCAAGTAGTAGAGATGACATTATTATTAATGGAAGATGAACAAGAAGAGGATGATGATGAGGATGATAGTGAGAGTGCTACCATATTAATAATAACAACACTTATTCCCAACACCATTCCTCGCTGGTCATTATTGGTTCGACTAACATTAAAAGAGAGTGATATTATTATTGGGAATAATAATACAGGTTGTAGCATCATCCCTCAAGCTTCAATAATCCTGAAATCACTTAATGAAGATTGCAGAAGGAGGATTCAGCCTCTCTTAGCTGTACAACTCTCTTCCCCAACATTATCCCCTTTACCTCGTCATTCTTTCCATGTCTTTTACAACCACTTGGAGAGCATGCCACAATATCGTCGTTTTCTTTTATTCAACAGTAGATACGGGTCATATAATTATTTCGATCATCCTCTCTTAACTGTTAGCTTTCGGGAGTACTGCTGATGATATTAATTATCATTTAAATTTCTCAGGTCATAAAATTATTATTTAAATCAGTCTCATTTATTTTTTTATTGCATATTAATATTATGTTTTTATGAAATATTAATTTTTCTGTTTTTTTAATATGCAATTCATGTTCGGAGGGCCTCCTCACAACTTTATAACATAAAAATTGTTAATCTTATTTTGGCTTCACAATAACTGCGCCTAGAATGTGTGTTGCTCTCCAAGTGATGTGAGTATAATAACTAGCATGACAAACAATTTCCTTACTACGCAATTTTATTATGGGAAAGTAGAATGATTATTCATGAATCAACTCAACTTGTAAATGTTAAAATTTTTATAATATTTAAATTGCAAACTATATTAAAATAAAGTATATTTGCTCGATCGACCAATCATTCCAGGTTGATCGTAGTTAACGGGCACTGTGGTCATTTACACTTTTTTTTTTCCAAAATTACTCTTAAATTTTTAGAATTTATTAATATTAAAAGGAATTAGAAAAATCTACTTATACCTGGTTTTCTCACTTGAAATCTAATGATAATTTCCCTTCACATTATGTGACACCAAATATATACTTTTTTTTTTTTAAGTGTGATTCGTAGAGTGCTCCCTCACAAGTTTAGAAAATAGAAATTATTAATATTAATATTGCTTTGTTCTATTGTTTGTTACTTTTCGCTTGTGTGTATTATATAATAATTTATAAATAAATCGAGAAATAATTTTCCATGCGAGGCGATTTCCTTATGTTCTGTTTGGATGGGAAAAAAAAGTTGGGAAGAAAGAAAACAAAAGGAGAAAAAATGAAGAGAAGAGAAAGTGAAGAGAAAATATTATTACCCATCTTATTTGGATGAATGAGAGAAAATATAGAGGAAAAAATTAGCAAACATGTGAATGACTAAAATACCCTTATCTATATGTCAAAAAATATTACATTATCAAATAATTTAAATAAAATTAATTAATAAAAATATATTATCATATATTATTATTTAAAAATCAAATAGTTTAATAAAAATGTTATTTTTAACAAAAAACAAAAAAGTGGATAATTTTTAAATTAAATATAATAAAAGAAAATAAATAAAAATATATTATTTAAAATTATTGCTAAATAATAAAAATTTATTATAAAATTTGGCTACATGAAGATAATTTGCTAAATGAAAAATAGCCATAAATAAAATTAAAAAATTGTTTTAAAGGCAAAATATATGTTTATGTACCTAGTATGGGGGAGTATATGAGGAATGTGAGTCTCTCTATATGTGGAGAAAAAAGTTGAAAAGAAAATGACATGGGTCCCGCACCTTATTTTTTTCTCCTATTTTTCTTTCATCCTGCTTTTCTTTCCTCATTCAAATCAAGAGAAAACTCATTTCTGTCTTCATTTTTCCCTCTAATTTTCTTTCCTCCCTCATTTTCTCTCTATCCAAATAAGGGGTTAGGAAAGCAGGATGATTATTCATTATTTACCAATATAGCGTATCCTGTAATTTGTCTGGAAAAAATATGTATAGTCTGATTGTATAAAATAGATTTTACTAATTAAACTATAATAGAAAATATTACCATAACTCATATTTATTACAATAAATCGTTATTTCTTCACAGCAAAAACCACGTCCTTATTCATTGGCTTTGTCGGGTTGAATGATAATGGGAGAGTAAAAAAATTTAATAAGTTTGATTTTCTCATGAAAAAGAAGCAGGTTGACAGATTTTAATTTTTCTTCTCCCTCACTTTTATATCTTCTATCTGTTATGGAGGCACAATGATATCTATCATTTTTCAACAATGACGAGGTAACAGTTTTATTTTTTAAAAAAATTATCTCTATTTTATGCCCTTAATTTTTTTTATCTCTTGGCCATGTATT